TTGCGAACACTAGCTTAAAGATTTAAGTGAATTCCCCTTTAGCGCGTACAAACAATTTTTGTTGGTCAAAGCAAATGTGAATAGCACTAATTTAGGGGAATTCCCTTTATGTGCATACAATAAAATTTACTGGTCAGAGTAATTGAAACGTGTTAATATTTTGTAAACTGTCAATGCAATAAGTCGCGTTTGGTAAAGAAAAAATTAAAAAAATTAAAATTCTTGTTTTTCACTAATTTTAATAGGTTTTAGAGATTAGGAACAAATCACCCATTTTTGTATAAGATCAATGTCCTTTTTTACACGTTTCTTTTTTACACGGCTTCTTCTGGAACCAATCTACCGTGTAAAAAGAGACTTAGGTGTAGTTGTCATATATATCTTCACCCGATTTCACGTTTTTGAGCACCAAATGGTTAATATCCCCCCAAATAGGATGGGTTTTTGACACATACGACCAAATTTAGAATTAAGCAAATATAACGAATATGAAAAAAACGGTTCAAATATACTTCCAATATATTGGCATGTTCCAGAACTGCAAGAATATACAATTTTTTACTGCGATAATCGATTTCCCCTTTAAAATACCGAAAAAATGCACAACTAGCAGATTGTTGCAAGTTCTGGAACAGAGCATATAAATGCATTGTGCTTTGGAAATGAAGCGAGGAACCTCATTTTGTAAAAATTCTTGGGTGGCGCGTGTTGAATGCGATGGTGCTGAGTCTTCCTGTTGGAATGTCCAAGGTCTGCGGCCAAAATGTTTGCATGCCCAAGGCTTTAAAACACCCTCCAGAATATTTTCGCGTAATATTCGGCATTTATTCTGATGCCACACCATCACCATGGCCGGCGCTTGAGTTCTGGTGGCCAACCGAAGATGCACATTTTCAGCTGACCTCTTTGGCAAGTAAAAACGATCATTTTGTTTGTTTACAAACTGCTGGACTACGAATGTTTTCTCATCGGAGAAAACCAAATTCGGCAGTTCACCACTTTCGGCCAAGCGAAGCAAATCTTTAGTTCTTTTGAGTCTATTTTCTTTCTGCTGCGTTGTGAGTTCTTGCACTTTTTGAAATTTCAATCGCTTTACCCCGAGATAATTTTTCAATATTTGCCGAGTGGAACTGACTACGAATGTTTTCTCGTCGGAGAAAACCAAATTCGGCAGTTCACCACTTTCGGCCAAGCGAAGCAACTCTTTAGCTCTTTTGAGTCTATTTTCTTCCTGTTGCGGTGTGAGTTCTTGCACTTTTTGAAATTTCAATGGCTTTACCCCGAGCTCATTTTCCAATATTTACCGAGTGGAACATTGCGACTTGTGGTTTCCAGCCAAATATAAAGAAATCACACTATCACGCTTGAATTTTATTACGAATAACTTTTTTTCTGGAAAATTGTTAACCAAAATGCTTTTATACGCTTGTAAACAATATAATGAGCTGTCACTGGAATAATTTTAATAGCTGTCGGACGAGTGGCTTAGAAATGGCAGCAGTCTGAAGTTAGTTGCAGTTTTTTCATCTCACCCTGTATGTTTTAATATGTCTCTAAGCATGGTGGAAGAGGAATACCATTGCTTTGTTCCAAAACCTAAAGAATCTACTATTTTTCCAATTTTTTTTCGAATCATAAAGGGAAAATCGGTTATCCAGTTAAAAACTTTACATTCTTGAAGTTCCGGAACATACCACATGTCTCGAAGTCTTTAGCAATCGTATTAAGCCATGGTAGGAGAATTTAGGTAGATGCATCAACGCTTGGGAACATTGATATATCAAATTTTTAATATTTTTTTTTTTTCAAAAATAAGTAGATTTTTATATGTTTTCTTATACGACACCAATCGGATGTTGCCATGACATGCATTTTTAAACAATTTTAACGAGTTTGAATAATTTTTCATTCAAATTTTTCAATTTCAAAATTGGTTTAACAGTTCATTGTTCCAGCAGCTGTGTCGATGTGACTACCTGTATTTTTGCACCATGATATTAAGCATTGTTTGAATTTTACGTCGCCGTTGAAACGATTTTAATTTAGGCTATGCTATACGACCACTCAATCTGGCAACTCTTATAGCATTGCGTCCCTTTACCGTTATTCGCGGCATAAAAATTGCAGATTTAGTTTTGTGAGTTTATTTGCATTAAAAAGTTCTTAAATTAATTAAATTGCCATTATTTTGATTTGTGAAATGTGTGTTTGAGTTTAAAATCAATATTTTGAATTGTGTTCCGATGTGTGTGAAAAAATGGCAAAGAAAATCTTAATTGTTTTATGTGTGAAAGAAAAAAATCGCTCTTGGAAACTTTTATTGGTGCTATTGTACATCCGGTATTAAAGGCTAACATTTCTCGACGCGCGGTGGAATAGAAATGTCGTTAATTTTTCTAAATAATGTCATTGAAAATAATTTTCGGTTGTAGTCGACTTTTTTTAAAGTGTGTGCGATAAGTGTTATAAAAATTAGAGTTTCCGTTAAAATGTTTCCATTCTTGTAGCGCCTACACCACATAATTGAAGACAATAGAAATAAATAATCTAATCTTCTTCTATAACTAATGGGTTGTTGAAAAACTGCAATGATCTTGGGAATTTTGCTGCAAAATCCGCATCTTATCTTAAGTCCTTACGTTTCAATATAATACTGAAACAATGTTTCCAATTAGCCTGTTAACTGATTTGAAGTTGTTGCTTTAACATTTACATCTGATAGAAATTGGCAATCATTGGGTTTTTTTAAGTAACGGAGCTTTGGCTTATAATTGATCCCTGGAAGCTTCAAGGGGTAATTAATTTTCTTTATTCAGATGATTTTTCTTCTCTTTAAGATGCATCCCAACTTCACTTTTTGTGGGCTCTATCTAGGAAAATTATGTTGTAGGTCTTTATATTCCTAAATCCAATTCATGTTAGAAATCCCCTTTTACTATATTTACATTCATTCAAGTAGACTCAGTCGAATTTCATCCAAATTTTGGATATTTTTGTATTCCTATTATTTGTCATCCATTGTGGTGTATGGTACAAGGGTAGTTAGTGCTTCGTCTTAACTTTAAAATTTAATGAGATTGTCAACAAAATGGCCAAACAAGCAATCATATTCAATCGTAAGTGTTTACAATACAGTTTTTACAGTATTTTATAACAAATAATTTTTATTTTTGTGTTTCTAGATGTCTACAAGTTGTTCCTACATGACATGGAAACTTCAAGTAAGTGCTGATAGTTTTATGATGAATATTCAATAATATAACCATACAGGGTGAGTTAAAAAAACTGCAACAAAGTTAAACGCCATAGTTTTTACATTTTGTTTCAAATTTTATTGAATTTGCTTTCATTCAATAAAATTTGAAACAAAATGTAAAAACTATGGCTTTGTCGGAAATAGCATCAAATTTTAGAACTTGTTTAGATTTGTTCGAATTGGTCAGTTTTGGCACGTATTATGACCGTAAACGGCCAATGAAATTGTCACAAGTTGCCCGAATGTTGCTCTGCGGTATTTTGGCCCATTCCCGTCGAAGCGCCTGCTTGATATAATCGAAACATTCGTATTTTTTAGTGCCAACCTTGCTTTTCGAAATACTCCACATACAAAAGTCCAACGAATTGGTATCTGGGAATTTTAGTGGCCATTGTGCGCTGGAAATGAAGCGAGGAACCTCATTTTGTAACCATTCTTGGGTGGAGCGTGTTGAGTGTGAACGTGTTGAGTTCTGTTGGAATGTTCAAGGTCTGTGGCCAAAATGTTTGCCTGCCCAAGGCTTTAATACCTTTCAGAATATTTTCGTGATAATATTCGGGTTTTATTCTGATGCCACTGTCGATTAATACGAGCGGAGAGAGACGATCGGCTGTTATGGAGGCCCACACCATCACCATGGCCTGCGTTTGGGTTGTTGTGGCGCACATTTTCAGCTGACCTCTTTGGCAAGTAAACACGATCATTCTGTTTGTTTACAAACTGCTGGACAACAAATGTTTTCTCATCGGAGAAAACCAAATTCGGCAGTTCACCACTTCCGGCCAAGCGAAGCAACACTTAAGCTCTTTGAGTCTGTTGCGGTGTAAGTTTCTGCACTTTTTGGAATTTCAATGGCTCATTTTTCAATATTTGCCGAATGGAATATTGCGTTATGTTCAGCTCACGAGCCATTTTTCGGTCACTGCGACGCGGGTTTCGATCAAGTCGCTTCTTTACATTTCAAACCATTTCTGCTGATGTTGCTGTTTTCTTCCGTCCACTTCCTTGACGTCGGGCTACGCTACCAGTATCACGGTAGTAGTTTACCAGCCAAATATAAAGAAATCAGAATTTTGGAAAATTCTCACCAAAATGCTTTTGTACGCTTGTAAACAATATAATGAACTATCACTGGAATAATTTTAATAGCTATCGGACGAGTGGCTTAGAAATAACAGCAAGCTGAAGTTGGTTGCACTTTTTTCATCTCACCCTGTGTATTATCTTTCAATAGACACAAGACATTGTGTGTTGGGATCTTGTACCATTAGTCATCAATTTAGCAGGTCTTCGAGGTCTGAAATATTCCCTAAATGGGAAACCACTTTTCGAAATAATTCAATTTGGTGCGAAATACAACTATAAATAGGGGTTTCTTTTGGTCTGCTGTCACACGTACATTAAATTTTCTAATAGATTGGTTTCTTCTTCAGGACTTATGACATTTGCTTTACTTGGAGACGTCCTGGCCCATTGTATTCTTTCTAAATGTAAAAAAAGAAAATTTGTGTAATCAACGATAAGATATTATCGTGTCGTTTTTAGTCGCTTTAATCTTCTGGCCAGAAGTAGCATTTCTGGATCTGTATCGAAGAATTAAGACACATTTAGGATCATTTTTCTTCCCATAATCATTAGTCTCATACAGAAGAGCATTTGGCGGTGGTACACCAAACATTCCAAGTTTTCAGTCTCCTTGACTTGGAAGTCACTAAGAAAGAAGCAATTAAAACACATTTCAAACTATTATTCATTCCACATTTATTTTATTCCCACCAAAAACTGACGGAAAAACTTGGACTCTCCGATTCGACATAATGCCACCATTTCGGTGGCATATACAAACAATCACCTGCCTGTAAGGTTAAATCATAAAATTTTACCATAGACAAACGTGGATATTTCTCCAAATCCGGTGAGGCTGCATTAATTTGTGATGTGTTCGATAGGAATTCACCCTCATGTGGATAAAGATTGTCGGAGTCTTTGGGTGAAGCTAATATGATTTTCTTCGAACCAAATATTTGACACAAGATATTGTGTTTCGGATCATAGTGCATTGGACTAATGGTGCCCTTTGGTCCTAACCAAGCTTTTATATCCACCATCTCTTTGTGTTCGCCCAACAAGCAGTAGTCGGGTATTGAAAAATCATTTTTCAACAGTGGTATTTGCTCGAAGAGTTCATGTTGAGCTAAGTATTCTATTTCATGTTTGTCATCATTGGGCGATTGCTGTTTTGGTTGGGAAAATTGCCGTTTGAGAAAATCTTTGATTTTCATTAATTGCTGTGACCATTCATCTGTGGTATAATTGGAACCAATTTCAATGGGAACCGTACGATTTCCGGCAAGTTTTAGAATGTAATTTAAATCTCGCCATTTTTCCAGTGCCGGCCAATGTCTGATGGTGTTGAGTAACAGGGCAGGAACTTGGGGAGTGAAACATTTCTCATTAAACTCCTCAAGGGATGGACAATCTAGGCGTAAAATATCACAGTCAACCGAGCTCCGAGGTAAGGGTTCTATTATGGGCAATTGTAGGTCCACAGTGGGATCTGTAGAGATATTTTTATTAAAATACGAAATTTGAGGTGTTAATGGGAACCACTTACCCAACTCGCTGTCGAATAACTCTGTTAGTAAATTCATGAATTTCGCTTCATTGCTGAATATATTTTGAGAACAGCCCAATAGTATGGCATCATCCAGTACCTCATTACATTTCTCAATTTGTGATTTTTCCATGGATTCTAATAAGAGAAATATAATCTGTAATTTTCGAGATAATGACAGCAATCTGAGTTAGTGACCCGCAGAACTTACCTTACAAAAGCTAGCCAAGGCATATGTTTTGCGTACATCCAGTGGCACCTCACTAAAGTGTCCCGTATGTATTACCTCCCAAAACTTATCCAACAATGCCTGTACAAGAAAATAACATTCTTCAACTCCATCATCAGAGTCACTTGTTGATGGTTTCTGCTTTTGGATTCCATTAAATGTTTCGAAAGTTTTCTTTAAAATAAATTCGCCTTCGGGATTTGATTTCAGTATTTCTTTAATTTCATCGATTTGTGGCAATAGATTTATTAATTTATAGGCTATTTCCATACTGCTTCAGGAGCATCTGGTTGTGGGTTGAATGAAGGTAATGCAAAAAGCAGACAACGAAGCGAAACGATTTTTTTTCATCGGCGGCGGTGCTCTATATATTTTGTCGGCGGCGGAGAAATTTTGGCGAGGAAGAAAAAAACAATAAATTAAAAATATAGTTTTTATAATATACGGCATTTAAAACAGGGCTTAACTTTAGTCCTTATCTTAACTTAAAAATTCGAAGAGTTTTTACTAAACTAGAGTTGTTCCTAAAACAGTAAAGGACTCACGAAGACCTTGGGGGGTCAACTATTGGTGATTAAATTATAGTATAAATAGTATGATGTTTGAGATTGCGCATCCTCCGGCCAAGTTTGAAACATTGGATAATCAACTATATGTGAGTAGAGTGAAATAGGAAGTTCCCCAAGGTGAGGTGATATCTACATGACTGTTTAACCTTTATTCCTCGTCCTCTTAGGCGGCATAGATATGCAGGTTCACGTCTTCGTATCGCCCCATATAACGATTTTAATTTAAGCGGTATTTTCCCAAATTTTTTCATGTTCCTTTCAAATGGTGAAGGTTATTAAAAATTCAGCCTGGCCGCACATAGCTTCTTTTTATATCCTCAACCATGTGGCTAGAGAGGGTACATATCATTTCATAAGGCCAAAACGGGCCTCATAGCGATTTTAGACCCTAGGTCTTTTTGGACCAAATCCGTTTCAGGACATTTGGAGTCGATCTAGCGATTATCGTCCTTCTGTTTGAATGGCTGGTGCGCACTATAACTCTCGAAGGGAGTATCCGATTTGGTTCAAACTAGGTACATCGTAATATTATTATCAAACTTATATCGAGTTCGTAAATGGTCTTTACCGGTCCACTCTTCCTGGTACCTCCCCACAAAAGTTCGACATTTTCAAAAAATATTTTACTTCACAGAAAGAGAAAGGATAGTTGGATTTTAGTTCAACTTTGCAAATTCTAATATTTGCATCTGTGCTAGGACAGGTGTGAAAATGGACAATATCGGACCACTCCATCAAGTACCTCCTACCCCAAAAGGTCAATATATTGAGTTATGAATAAATCAGCTAGTTATGCGATCTAGTAAAAGTTTTCTCAAAAGCGGACTAAATGCCAAGTAAATGTAAAAAACAAATCTCTCTATATTACCCTCATGAAGTGTTTCTTCACTATTTTCAATATCTCCATATACCTCTTATGGATTACTGACTTAATACCGAAAATGTCATTAGTGACTTCTGAATGGCAAGCCCACGTTTATAGGAAAAATGCATTTCTTGAATACACTTGGTCAGTAGTGATTGATTACTGACATTACCTATTGGGGTGTCTATGTATAAGAGACTGGTATTGTGTAAAATCGGCCACAGTATCCCGCTGACATATTGCGTTGGTTGCTTGATTCGTTACGATAGCAACTGCTGGTTTAACAGGGTGTCTTAGAAATATATGAATTTAATATGCCTAAAAGTATGCTACAGTTTTAATATCAATAATAAGGATAATAAATTGTCTTTGTACATTTGTATATAACATGTGGAAGGAAAACATATATACCCATAGTTTCCTTTGTATATCTCAATTGGATCACATTCTGAGTCGATTTAGGCATGTCCGTACGCCCGTTCATCTGTCCATGTCCGATTGAGATGAAATTTTCCACTGTTCATTTGTTTGACTCAAGGACGAACCCTATTAAAATTGGTGATAATCGGCACGGATTCAAATATGGCTCTCAAAAATATCTTCACCGAATTTGACGTTCACAGTAACTAAATGTGAAACATTAGTCCAAATACGATGAATTAAACTAAAATTTGGCATATAAACAGGTATGTCAAATTGGGTGAAGATCAAATCAGGTGTAACTATACCTCCAATATATATATAAATGTTTCACCTAGTAGATACAAGATGGCACATACAGACTTAATTTTTTTCCAAATTATTTTGAGGTTGATTCAGCTTTGGATATAGTTTTTTTTTCAAATATATTTCCCTCTCATTTGATGTAAACGACGCTATGTATGTCCAATTAGAATGGATTTTGGAACATACGATCAGGTTTCGATTAGCATTAAGTGTGCCAATTTTGTACCACATCGATTTAGATAAAGCAACTTGAGTAAGAATCGATTAAGTTCACCCCATTTTAAACTGAAAGCTCTCCAAAGCCGAAACACCCAATTAATAACGATCACAGTTGGTAGGGTATCCTATAGTCGGCCCTGCCCAATTTTTGTCCGTTCTTTGCTGATTTGACATTTATTAGCTTTTGGAGTAAATTTGACAATTACTTTCTACGTCTTGTCCATGTTAAAATAAGGTGTTAGGATGCTGTTTGGTAAGTAGTTGCTTGCACCAAAATGTACTTTATAAATCCATTTTTTATGCCCTCCACCATAGTATGGAGGGTATATTAAGCTTGTCATTCCGTTTGTAACACCTCGATATATATTTTTGATTAGCATAAAATTCTATGTCGATTTAGCGATGTCCATCCGTCTGTGGAAATCACTCTAGCTTCAGAACGAAATCAACTAGATTGATAAAACTTTATTCAAATGTATGTTATGTCTGCAGGACTTTTGGTATTGAAAATGGATTATAAAACGTGGACCTACGTTTTGGTATAGCCCCCATATAACGGTACCTTCCGATATTCGGTGTTTTGATGATTTTAGCTACATTATTCACCGGAATTGTTTCAAATTTGGTATTATTGATGTTCGTAATGGATGCTACAGCCTATGACAGAAAATTGTTTGTGCCGGTCCACGTCTTCGTATAACCCCAATATAACGGTACATCCCGATATTCGGTATTTTGATGATTTTAGTGACATTGTTCACAGAAATTGTTTCAAATTTGGTATTTGAGGTTCGTAATGGATACTACAACCTAAGACGGAAAATTGTCTGTGCCGGTCCACGTCTTCGTATAGCCCCCATATAACGGTATCTCCCGATATTCGGTATTTTGATGATTTTAGCTACATTGTTACCGATTTTTTTAAGTTTCGCACTTGAATATTGTAATGGCTTATGACAAATGTTACCTATGCAGGTCCATGTCGTCGTATAGACCCTAATATAACAGCTACATTCGGCATTTTTATACCCTACAACACTATGTGTTGGGGGTATTATAAGTTTGATTGGGCCAAAAATTATGTAACACCACGAAATATTGATTTCCCACATAGGAAAGTATATATGGATCTTCCTATCTCGCCGAGCTGAGGCGATCTAGCTATGTATGTCCGTCCGTCCGTCTGTCCGTCTGTCCGTCTGTCCATGTTAATTTGTAATCACTCTACAGGTCGCAATTATGGCCCGATCTTCACGAAATTTAAAATGTAGGTGGGGTTAAGGTCAGAATAGAACCCTATTTCTTTTGGAGAGGATTGCATAATATTTAGGGGTTGAAATGGACCAAAAACTGAAAAATTTGCTGATTTTGCAGTTGCTCTACAGGTCACAATTATAGACCAATCGACGCAGAATTTCGCATGTAGCTAGAGTTAAGGGAGGGGAAGAACCCGACCAATTTGGGTGGTCATCGGATAATATTTAGCGGGTAAAATAGACCATATCTTTTTTGTTGAAAAAATTCAAAATTTTTCATTAGACCGCGAATATTTTAAATCCCGGCGAAATCACAAAGCCATGACAAGGTTACTTCTGATCTTTACATTGATGTTAAGATCCAACAAATCGGATATATAGCAAAATATGTGAGATATATATGTCTATCAAAGAAGATATGCTTGAAAGATCTCATATATTTCGAGAACGGCTGAACTGATTTCGACAGTTCTCATTAATTCAGAATGGCCTCTTGGCAGGAAAGAAAAAACGTCTGAAAAATTGCATAAAAATATCTCTCTAAAGATGAAAATATTGATTTTGTAAGTTTTTCTCATATTTTTTCAATTTTGTCATATTTTTGGCATATTTTCATTTTGAATTAAACATTTGGTAATATTTCTAAAGCTAACAAAACTAAGTAGTTAGGATATCAGGATATCATATACAGATCGCATTTATGGCCCGATCCTTACGAAATTTTGAATTGGGATAAGATGAGGGTCAGAATAGAAGCCTACACTTTTTAGAGATGATCGTCATATATTTAGGGGTTGAAATGGACCGAAACTGCAAAATTGTCAGCAGGTCGTAATTATCGCCCGGTCCTCACGCACATTTGAATGGGGGTTACCGGACATTGCAAAAGCCAAGCAGTTTTGGATGGCCATCCAAAAATATTAAATGTGTGAAGGAGTTTGACAACTTTTGTAGACAAAATACGAAAATGTCGATTCCAGTGGCTTTTTGGAGAATTCACAAATACAGGAAAGACGCACTTCTGACTATTTCGTTAACGCTGATTTCGTTGAAAAATATAGTCAAATGTCTGTATCTCATATAGATGCGTTGCAGTCAAAAACCAATAATAAATGTTAAACTTTTGCCACTTCTGAGAGATCATAGGTCTTTGGGAGATATTGGTTCCAGATCTAGGAAGACCATTTACGTGCAACATCTACCAATAAATTGGAAATGAGCAAATTAGCTTAAGTTGCTATTATTCGAAAATTAGAGAACGAAACCTGATGGTTTTCTTTTATCATTTGTCACAAAATCTTGTGGAATTCTTTCGAGTATCTCGCCTATATAAACTGTATCACTTATTATAGTGTTGTAGGGTATTCAACGGTCGGCCCCGCTCGACTGTAGCCTTTGCTTACTTGTTAAAATTGTAACAGAATTTTTAAAGGATTTTATTGTCTTTGAGAATTGCCAAATTCGATCCAAATGGTGGAGGATATTCAAAGTTCGGCCGGATTTAAATCATTTTTATTTGTTTGGTAATGCGATTTTTTGCTGGCTATCATTATACCCTACAACACTATGTGTTGGGGGTATTATAAGTTTGATTGGGCCAAAAATTATGTAACACCTCGAAATATTGGTTTCCCATATAGGAAAGTATATATGGATCTTCCTAGCTCGCCGAGCTGAGTCGATCTAGCTATGTATGTCC